GGGGGGGGGGGGGGGGGGGGGGGGGGGGGTGTCCCGGTCCCGTTTCACGTGTAAATTTTGGCAAATTTCACTTATCACATGCGTTATAAACCTTTTTTTTACGATCCACGAATTTAGTCATCAACCGAAACCGGAAACCGGGCATGAAAAGCCCCTCGCACCCAGGGTACCCGTTACTCAAAGGGGTAAAGAACCGAAAACCACAGTCTTCATGGATCACACTTCGCAGTTCAGTAAACGATGGCATCTTCTTTTCTTATCAGCAAGTCGGCAAGGTGATCTTAAAAGGTGTTAACGAGCACCCGAAACCATCGTCTTATTGACAAATACAATCTATTGGTACGAAACTACCGCTCTATGCGACAAGGAGATAAGTAAAACTCTTCCAGAGCGAGTGCGAATTTATCTTAACAGCAAATTTAAAATCACATTTCTCTCAAGATCAGTAGAAGCTCCTCGGTCTTCTTCTGAGTTCCTTTCGTGTCATTGTATTCCAACTCAACTCTCTCTCCAACGCGTAATTCTTTTGGGACATGTGTAAGGGAAGTGTTCCCGCAGAATCCTTTGTGGTGCATTGCATCGCTTTTCCATGCGCAGTAGCCCAATGTCGCATTACGCTTTGGTCACGTTTCGCACCCAGGGTATCATCTTTGCTAGGCAACTCTCTTGGTGTGCTGATATAGTGGAGAAGTTCTCGAGGTTTCTTCCCTTTTGTGCAAATAGCCGGAACTTTTTTGGCATCATTGATTCTTTGACTCCGGTTTGTGGTCCGACACTAGGATAACAAATCTCTCAAGCACCGGGGCATAGTATCTTGAAAACCCTTCAAAGTTTTCTTAAGGGATGTAAAAAGTTCAGTGGCTTCTCCATAAGGCAGCCTTGTGGCCCAGGCGGTTTTCTCGTCCTAAGAAAGGGGATGTCTGATTGCATTTTGTGATTGCGTAATAAAAGTACAACATCCTATAACACTTTTCATCACTCGAGAGCCTTATAATTGCTTGGCCATGTAAAGAACCAGTTACAGGAGGAGGAACTGAGGTTATGGTGGATTTTATCGGCACCAGGAGACTTACATGAATTTGAAGTGGATTCTCACGATGAATCTTCGCGACGTCGAATCACAAAGTTTAAAAAGCTATAAAGAGCAGCTCGATTCTGTATGATTTTGCTTGACTGGGTCTCAATACTAGCTCCATCGGTCCAGGATGATCTCAATTATACTTTTTAAAAACTGAGAGATGTGAGGCTTGTTCACTATCAGTGTTTCTTTCTGTGGCGTTCTTCTAAACAATTGCATGGTATTCACTTAAGGCAAGAAAGACTTCGAGAATATCTCTATATGGCGTTAAATCCACACATTGCTGTTATCAAATGTGTCAAAGATTTGTGTTGTGAACTTGCTGTGAAACATCACAACAAATATAGCACTGCTCCAGTCTCAGCAGACATCTGCTGTCATATAACTGTTATCAGACGTCTGATTTTGTATGTTATGTTATATAACTGTTATCAGACGTCTGATGTTATATGTTATGTAATATAACTGTCATCAGACGTCTGATAACAGTTATATGATGTCAGACGTCTGCTAACAGTTACAAAAATCAGACGTCTGATAACAGTTATATGACATCAGCCGTCTGATGTCACATAACTGTTATCAGACGTTATGTAACGTAACATATAAAATCAGACATCAGACGTGTGATGACAGTTATATGACAGCAGATGTCTGCTGTTATATAACTGTTATCACAGTTAACAGACGTTAACAGTTATAACATAACTGTTATATAACTGTTATATAATGTTATATAACAGTATATATAACAGTTATATAATTGTTATATATATATAACAGTATATATAACAGTTATATAACAGTATATATACCTGTTATATGACAGTTATATAACTGTTATATAACAGTTATGTAACATATATGACAGCAGACATCTGCTGTCATATAACTGTTATCAGACGTCTGATTTTATATGTTATGTTATATAACTGTTATCAGACGTCTGATGTTAGATATCCTTTTTTCCTCAACTCGGCACTTTTATTTTTGATAATTGTAAAGATGACAAGAGAGTGTGAGAGAGATCAATATATTATTGAAAACAAGAGAAAACCAAAGGTTACGGAGTGAGGGCGACAACGATGGAAGATGAAAACGCTGTTACTCCAAAGCTGTGCTTCGCCCAAGTTTCACTTGATAGATGTTCCGAACACGCGTGATCAGATTCTAAGTGACCAGAGAAGATCCAGATGCGAGTGATCAAATTGCTTTCTGTGAATTCCATTCATCCTTATAAGTGGAAGTCCAAACGAATGCCGGTTAGATACCTGCGATGCATGCATAATAATAACCTGAAGATGAAAACTGCGGGCTACTCTTGTCGCCCGCAATAAAAGTGGTTAATAACTCCCCGTTGCATGTCGTTGAAGGTCTCTGTAAGTGTCTCATGTTTTATTTTTGCGGTAGTTTGGCTGAGCAATTAAATTCCCAAAAAGTGCAATTCACTTCAATCAAAGTGTAAAAATGAAACATCTTATCTTTCCAAGGGTGAAAAACGGCATACTGTCTCTCCCAAACGAGAGAGCAAAAAATTAGCCATTCCTGTTCGCCATGCAGAATTTCCTTGAGTAGCCTGACCTTTTGTTTCTTCCGTGTGCAGTCTTGTTTGTTCCATCAGGAGGTGTCTCAAAAATATTAATGAAGTGTTTTAATGTGTCAGGGGGTGCACGTATAATATTGTAACGCTTTAACTCAAATTAATTCCGCCCTTCAGAACTCAACTTGCTTCTACGTGGCTTTCCCTTGTGACAAGAATCACTTACACACTCTTTTAAAATAATTTTAGAAAATCTCTCAGAAAAGTAAGTAACAAGTATTTTATAGGGTTACCTTGCAGTACTTTGAAGAAAATGGGAATGCAAAAGTTTTTTAGGCCGCTTTCTTCCCGTTTTTGAGCCTTTTCCGGACCAAAACAAAAAGGCCATGACCCCTCCCCCCAAGGGCACAATGTGCTTCCCCCCGTGCATATTTGAGTGGGGTCCATAGCTAAAAATAATTAGTGCAACTAGTACTATCACTGTGCCGAGTTTGATGCTTTTACCCCAAAGTGCACAATTCAGCTATTTTTCTACACCATATGGCTGGACTATTAAGCTGTTTTACTCATGAGGTTGATTTTATTTAAGTTTTGTTGATTTTCTCCGACCAATAACCCGGATAAACATCTGGTAGCAGAGCGAAGTTGTCTTTACGATGGATTGACTCAATTTTACCGTGATTTTACTGTGAGATTTGCGATCACAGGAACGGTAGAACCGAACACGAGATGGCTGAACGACTAAAATCCTCCCGCTCATGGGTCCAGTCCTCGCTCAATATGTCCTTCGCGACAGTATTTTTGTAACTTCAAGCTTTTCAGACCTTGCTAGGGTCAGTCTACGTGTTGTAGATAAGGAAATAGAAGTGTTAGGATAAGAAGGGTGTGACATACCCGGGGGGTTATATAGATGCCACCCCCAAAACATTTTTCCAGGACTTTTGTTAAAACGGATTTAGGCCAAAACGTCCAGTCTTCCTCAGAAGATTTAACAAAACTCGGTAACGCGATCGGTTGCTGTTGATACAAGATATGACTTCACAAATGACCATAAGTGAAGCCTTTTTTAAGCAGCAATGAGTGGTTTTGTGGATAAATGTAAAAAACGGTGACATGAAAAATGCTTTATGTTTAAATTTTTGACATAAATCTGAACTTTTAGTAAAATCCAAGATACCGGTTACTTTAAGTAACGTAAGGTAAATTACATCATGTAATATCAATTTACCTGTGCGGCTTTACCACCATTACACCGCCGTACTTTTTAGTATGTTTTACCTTCACATAAAGTCTCTTTTCGCTCTCAGCAATGTTCTTGGCTTCTACCAATCGCTTCTTCTCGGACTCAATCTGTTTTTCAGCGAGTGAAGACATCTTCTTGGCAAGCTACAAAAACCGTTTTCAAACAGTTATTTTTTACTTGTATTACCAGAAATAAGAAATAGGCCAATGACTACTGAAATATCTGTATTTAAACCTGTAAGTTCAAACATAAATCATTTTAGATCGGTAACAGCCCACAAGACATTCCACTTATCTACTCTTGCTTTACACTCTGTACAACACCTTTTATTTTCACGACGCAAATGACTACAGCAGTGCGTCCAAACTGCTTAATAACACCTCCACTTAGACCCTTTAAAAGAGTACTGAGTACAATCTAGTGTACTTTTTGTATCTTACTCGGTTTTTTGTTTTAGCTCTCATGTTCTGAAAATTTACTTTCGGTCTATATTTTGATTGTCTTTACCATTAGTATGCTATAAAAAGCATGTTTGCCTCCCCTTTTTTACCATTTCCCCCAAAATTGGAGTCACATTTCTCTCCTACCTCCCTATACCGACACCTCAAAGGCCTCAGTCTGACCCCAGTCCTAGCCTCATGTTGCGGACTATAAAATGCGATATATTTTACACAAAAATAGCGGTTGAGCACACTGATATACCTCAAGAAATATTTTCCCTAAGATTCGTGAAATTTGAGGTATAAGTCACCAACCTGTGTTATATCTCCTTTATTTTCTATCGAAGCCTTTATTCCGTTAAATGCGACTTCGTACTCCTTGGCCGAGTTCTTTACATTTTCTGCTATGACTTTCAGAGCTTCCCATTTGATACGCGGGGCAAACAGTTTATTTCTTCCAAAGATATCAAAGTCCTCTTTACCCGCAAAACCATACTTCCTTTTAACCTCTGAAGATGAACGAGATACAGTTGATATAAGAGTTCTCTCATAAGCGTATCAACGCTGAATGAGCATACAATCACATTATGTCTGGATAATAAGTGTTTCCTTCTCTACCTTCATATACATCGACGGTGGAGCCATTCTCGTCCCCAGAGTCTCCTAGGGGCCTGAGCACGAGGACCAGGGGATCTGGGGACACACGATTTGAAGTCCTAGATTTTAGGACTTCCGGTGATTTCTGATTTTCTACAACGTTTTTAATAGCGTTCACTTGCCCTTGCCGAAGTGTCAATAACTGTAAATTTAGGAGATTCGAAGCTTTTAAAAGACAATCCTCCAAGTTACTTAGGAGCGGAAATGACCGGAAGTCCTAAAATCTAGGACTCCAAATCCTGTGTCCCCAGAGCCTCCTGGTCCTCGTGCTTAGGCCCCCAGAAGGCACTGGCAACGAGAACGCGGTGGGGCAAGGATTATGTAAGGCTCAGTCCCCTGTATTGAGTGTGTCGATACGCCCTCGGTGGGGGGAGTACCGCAGATGCATTGAGACACGCAAGGCTGGAGACTGAGCCTGGGATACAGTTTGCATGAGATAATTCTCCCACCTAACGATTTGTAATCATTCTCAACTTTGTCGGGAAGCCTTGCATTGTACATTCGCATTCGAAAGTTTGTTGTCCATCTCTGAGTTTTATAGCAGTACCTGGTAATTAACCATCTTAGGGGAGGGAGGGGGGAGGGGGCAATCGGTCTGAATTTGTTTCTGGCGTTGAAATCTTTGTACCTGCCTTGACAGGAATCTAAGGTCAAATGTTTGCAAGCAGAAATCACTCGTATGTATTGTCAGGAATACGACGACAATGGAGTATTCTTTTAAGGCAACCTCTGACCGTAGAGTCAGTGGTAGTACGCCTTGCTGTAGTTATCTTGCAGACTCTAATACTTACATTCGTACTCCCCTGATCCCAATTCCCTGGGTTAAATCCCCACTCAGACCCCAGCGGGATGATTTGTTTTCTGGTAGTCACCCCGGTAGTGTTGTGCTCAAATCCCCTGGATACTCCCGTGATCCGAATTCCCTGGGTTTAAATCCCAATCCGATCGGTGGCTAGAGTTGTTTCTCGGTAGTCCTATGTTGATACTTCCCAATCTCCTGAGGTTAAATCCATTTCACAGCAATGGCTGGAGCTGTCTCTCCGAAGTCCTGTGTTTAACTCCCCTGGGTACTCCCCTGATCCAAATTCCCTTAGACCACTTTCGGGAGTTGTTTCTCAGTAGTCCTGTGTTCAAATATTCGACTAAGCTTAAAAATTCGCCAACTTCAGGTCTGCCACCGGTCAGTTGAGATTATTAACCTTGTCATATTTACTTCTAGTGAAATATTTGGTTCGACCCATGTTCATATCTACTAGCCTTTGTGCTTTAAATATTGCCCATGGTAAATAATCAAATTATAGATAAGAGTTATATTATTCACCGAAGTGGAGGTGGCTGGTGGTCTCAATTACCCTCGCCCTCATGGCCTCTGAGTCAATAGCCCTTGAGGCCTTATGGGCTATTGACTCAGAGCCCATTCGGGCTCGAGGAATAATTGTTAACTAGCCACCGACAGTGAGGTAAATAATTAATTTAGTATATACTAAAACAGTGAGATAAGTGAGCACAAAAATGATGATTTTTCACTTATTTATAGTTGCCAACGATTACAATTTTGGCTCGCAATATTAAACCGAACGGCCGCGGCCGTCGATTTTTCTTGCCGACAAATAAAACTTTTGAAGGCCTTGCTTAGCTCTTGCAGGGAAATTTCTTCAAAAGGAGTTGTGATTTCTTTTGGTAATTAAAATCACTCTGTAGAAAAGATTATTAAATTTAGTTTTAAGCTTATTTATGAACAAGTCGACAAAAATAAAGTAACGCAAGACTTAATTTGCATTTGTAAACAAAAAACTTCTTCACCGGTTTCATCGATAAATTCAAGTAAAAAAGACAAAGCTCTACCTGTCAAAACCTCCAAACCGAACTTTTTAACCTTCTTCGTGTGTTTCGGGAACAGCTTGCTTGATTATTTGTGAAATATCTTTGTTTGTTAACGGCAGCAAACCGGGAAGCCATTTTGCTCGTAACTCGTCGCTCGCTGGGAGGAACTGGAGATAAATCCGTGAATAGCATTGGATATTCACTGATTGAGTAGCCAATCAGAGCGAGTGAAAAACTCTATCCACTGTTTTAGCGGAGCTCCACCCGCGCGCGAAGCGCGTGCGTGGACGGAGCCCCATACCTAAGGAAATGTGGTAATCTATCAATCCGAGAAAATTTGGTAATCACGTGACCGTACGCCCGACCGTCCGTCCGCACCACAGGGAAACCAATGTTTACTCTCACACTTTCTAGCGTAGTTTGGGAGCTCAAGAGAAAGGCTAATTGCACATCAATGTTGTGATCAATTGACAGCTTTCAAAAGAGGATATCCGCTGACCAGTATTACCTGACCGTACCGCGGGCTCAAGTGTCGACCCATCTACGTCGAGTACTTTTTTGAAGTTATCCGCTGACAAATTAATAGTTTCAAATGACAGCAGGCTCATGCCTATTTTTTCCAATGATTCATATGAAATGTGTTGTGTTTTTGTCACTATGGCCCCGCACTGTCAAGATTTTGATTTCAAACTCACCTCGGACGCGAAAATTCAGCCAGCTTTTTAAAAATGCACGCGGGAAGACCTTTTCTTACCATGGTCACGCGTTGGTCACGCTCTACGTCCAATTTTTGTACTCTGGTTGGTCAAAATTTGACAGGTGAGTTCATGCGGAAAATTCATACAGCATCTTGAAAGTTGTTTACTTTGACAGCTGAAGCTGACAGAGTTTTGTGTCAACTTGTGATGTTTTTAACTGTCTTTTTTTTGGATGTACAAAATGAAATACAGCTACTAACAAGAGTCTTCTGTTACTCATGGCTGGTTTGTTTATTGGGTTTTTGGTTGAGAAATGCGTCGCTTGTCAAAATTGGGTAATCCGATTTCGGATGGCATCGTTTTTGTTTTTCACCTTGCTTAATGCGTAAGAGGGTTTAAAAGTCTCAAGCAACTGTGGCCTTCCTTGATATCTTTCAGGAACTGAATCTCGAATGGTAAGCCTGAGTAATTATTGTATCTGATGTTTGTTTTTGTTATATTTAATTTCATGAAGTCGAGCACAGTTTATGCGGAAAGTTTTTGCACGTTTGTAAGATTTGAGTCAATGATCTGACCTAGTATCAGGTTTGATATAAGCTTACAGAACTTTGAAAGACGAAGAAGTTCCGAAGAATATTTAGTTATAAATTTGGCTGTAGAAAGAAAACTTTGAGCGATTTTCTTGCTTCGAGGAGTTCATCTTTGAAAAAGGCAAATACCGGGAGGCCGGCTGAAGAAGTAAAACAAAATAAACTTAACCTTAAGCTTAAAGACTCAGGATTTTTAGAGACTCTTTAATTTGTCTTCGTAAATGAAAATTATTGTCTCTGTAAATGTTTCACCGAATTATATTTCTTTCATTGATTGTTAGTTCAGAGAGAACGTTAAAATTAGCGAACAGGCACCGCAAACAAAAGTAGCAAGTACTTGTAGCGAATGTCCTCATGAATATTTACAGCGCGCATAGTTTGCGAAATATTCTGATGTGTACGTTATAACTGAAGCCATTAAATAACAAAAAATAGTGATAATAAATTTGTGATTATGTTGAAGCGTATCTCTGTTAAAGTTCATTCAAACACTCGACCATGACTGACAGCTCACACTAGAAATGAGAACCGGCTGGCCGTATGGGTGATTTTCGAAATTTTTTGAACGGTTTCGCTAAAAGCCCACGATTGATCGTCCTGAACACTGACTGAGTGCAATTTGTCTTGAAAAATTGTGAAATACCGTGTATACTGTCCGAGGTCTGTATGATAAGTAGGTACTGTTTCACCTCAGATGTGATGTATAAAAGGTATAAAAGGTTGGTTTACACACCCTCAGATTTGTTGGCAAGAATTTGTAAAGTAAACCTATCGAACGCAAAAAAATTCGGCCTGATTTGCTTTCCAAGAATTTGTTTTCGAGGCCTAATCTACTGTGATCAAGAGCCATTATGGCTCTTGAATGTGATTGAAGATGTTTGCTATTTTTTGAGTGTACGTATTTAGGCTATCAACTCGATGTAAGATGTTTCACTCTAAAATAACTTATCCTTTCCCTCAAAAGTCATATGAATCAATGTGCCCTTAAGTTAACTGATTTGTGGATTACAAGTTTATTGTTTAATTTAAAATATAAATTTATTGATGGGAGCTTCGCTTTTAGCCCTGGCTAAATCTATATATTAGTATATACTAATTAACAATTATTCCTGGAGTCCGAATGGGCTCTGAGTCAATAGCCCATGAGGCCGAAGTCCGAATGGACTATTGACTCAGAGGCAAGGAGGGCGAGAGGAATAATTGTTTTAGTAAAATCCAACTGACTAGTTGGTCAAAAATTACGAGACAACTTAAGCTAGCAAAACGGAATTCAACCGCCATTGTTTTGGTTTTCAAAGCCGGCGCTTTTCGCTAATGTCGCTATAACATATAGCCTAGTAGTGGCTCAACCAATCAAAACGCCGCATTGATAACAGACCACTAGTTGGATTTTACTAATAAGTTATAGGTATACTGAACTGTTATAATTATTGTCATTATAGTAATAGTACTGCTGCTGCTGCTGTTGATTGATGATGGTGATGATGATAATGATGATGATGATTGTTGTTGTTGTTGTTGTTGTAAGACATCCTGCTTAAAGTTAGGATGTATATACAATATATAATCTCAGTATATAGTTTGAAATGAAACTGAAGTACCTCTCTTGAAGCTCACATCAACATCTGTTTTCTCTTCCACTACATCCATGATGAACTTTAGAGCGTTTTTGCCAGAGCGACTCTTTGGTTCCGCAAGGAGCAAGTCTTCAGCCTTCCTTTTCATAATTTTTAGCAACTCGGGAGGGAACCTCTTCTTATTTTGTGTGTCCAAAGTACTCGACAGTATGTTACTCAAACTTACAGCGCCGTCTTTACCCTTGATATTTGGGGCTAAACAAATAAACATAAAGGGAATAACGTAACGTAAGGAAGCTCATTTCGAAAACATTTGCAGAGGCCCCGCTGTCGCATGCTCATACTTTTATTGTTAACTTTGGAAAGGAGAAAGAGAATGCCCCAGTTTTAAAGTGACGGGGATGCATTATGCCTCGCTTAGGGATAGAAATCGTAGATTTGTTTTGTTCAGGACGGATATCCTTTATCTTTACCCGTAAAGAAACATCCAGTGTATCTTTATGAAAATAAGAAAACAAGCAGACAAATGGATCCATGCAAGGGAATCCGAATTAGGGAATCGGGTAAATTTTTGCTCGTGGAATCCGGAATCCTGACGTTCAGGAATCCGGAATTCAGCTCAAGAAAGCGGGAATCCCGCTCACGATTGCAATCCAAAATCCAAGTTTCACTGACAAAGAATCTGGAATACAGAGTGCACGTCGTATAATCCATAATCCAAGACTGTCGTGGATTCCCTCACGGGATGTGAATTTTTTTTTTTTTTGGGGGGGGGGGGGGGGGGGGGGGGGGGGGGCTCCCCCCCCGGGGCCAAGCGGTAGAGCGGGCGGAAAGAGTTCGGCGGGGAGCGCAGCGTGTGTTGGGAAAACGCAACACACTGAGGGATCGCTCTTTGTCCGTGTAGACAGCACAAGAAGAGAGAAAAAAAGAAAAAGATAATAAAAAGATAAAAAAAGAAAAAAAAAGATGGGACAATGAAAACCACAAAAAAACAAGGTCGTGCTGAGCCCGCCGAGTGTTGTTTTTTTTTTTTTTGGGGGGGGGGGGGGGGGGGGGGGGGGGGGGGGGGCTCCCACACCGCGGTCAAACGTCTGAGCACGCGCGAAGAATTGCGTGGGATCGCTACGTTCGATTTGGAAAAGCTACACACATGTGGCTACGTCTTCTTGCGGGCAAGAACAAGGAAATTTTCTTTGTATTTCAAGAAAGTTCACTGGCGATGAATAGGAAGAATAAGAGGAACGTATAATATGAAATGTAAGTATGAGTAAACTTCCCTTTGTCAATCATGATATTCTCCAACTACTCGTATGCTCTTGTTGAGCAATGACGGCGCGCATATGAGGTCGCTGGAAATATAAGCTCAAGTTTAAGTAGTTTTAAATTGTTTGGTTTGAGCTTCCTGTAATACTTTTATACTAACACTGGCTTGAGCGTAATTTTAATGGTTGGTATTTGTATTTAATACAAACCACATCTTTTGGGCTCTGGTTCGTTCTGCAAAATTAAAAAATTAGCAAATTGTCTGGTTGTGTTTTTCGATGAAACTGTTCTTTTATCACTGACGACCTTAATTTTAAGCTTGTTCTTATCTTTTCGCATCAAATACATTATCTCGCTCAGGATTTAAGTCTGTATTATTGACAAACAAAATGTATCGATAATGAATAATTATTTTAAATCTCATTCATAAAATTCAATAACCACATCACATGAGTTTAGTGAACATAATCAAGCTCAAAAAGGATGCATGAACATCTATGGTCTCAATGTTATTTATTGTTATCAGGCCAGGCACATTGTAAGAGGAAAAAGGTTTTATTTCTTAGCAGAAGTTTAAAAACCACACGTAAGTTCAATAATCACAGCAGCATAACTCTTTTTTTCACTGCTTGATATTGCAAATTGACCAGACATCGGTGTACATGCTGTCCTTTCATCACTATTGCTTATTCTTCATGTTTGCCCACATTCATTACCAGGATTTTGTTTTCACGACGCTGTCCATCCAACGCTTGCAGCTTAAATTACTGGGAAGGGGGTGGTAAATGAGGTATCAGTTGTACAACCTTCTATGTTGATTTAGATGCCATGGTGTTTAATGATCTTGTATGCATCTTTAAAGTGGGCCAAATAATATAATTTAAAGATTATTGTATGTTGCTAGATGCTCATATGGCGTTAAAAGGAAAGGCACCTGGTATTTAGTTTGTTTTTTTTATAATAACAATTTGATGACTTATTATTTATTTGATCTATCTTATTTTTGCACAGAAAGTTAGGAAGGGGATGAATAAAAGGCACAGAGTCTAGACCCTGAAGGAGAAGTAGATAGATGAGAAAAGGATGCAAAACGAGAAGAAAGAATGAAAATGATGTACATCAAAACACCTAATTTAGCTGAAAAGACAAATAAAGGTTCCACTCAATTTTATTTGCAGTTTTGTCTTCTTTCTTACACTATTTTGGACTGTCTTTTAGAACATCATGTTAGCCAAGTGGTCTAACTGACCAGCCATCATTTGGAGATGGGTAGGTATCCTCTCAAGATTTTGTTACCTGTTTATTATTATTATTTTTTGTGCTTTTTCATTAAGTCTACTTTCTTGATCTTTGATCATCTCTTTGGCTTAAACAAGGTGCATTATTATGGTCTAAGTAAAAAAGTTGAATTCTGTTTTTTCTCTTCTGTTTCAATCGCAGATAGTACACCCCTTACTTCCATTTCTTCTTTTGACAACTGAAAACAGGGATGACCCCAACCAGTTTTTCGAAGATCACTTAATTGCTTCTGACGAGCTCATTATTAAAATGCAAACCACACTGCATTTATCGCAAAATATTGAAAGCCTTGGCACACCTGATCAGGTGCTCAAAAGGCAATCAAAATGGGTTATGGGGAGGGGAAGGAAAAGCTGAAAAAAACCATTAACCGAAAAAAAGAAAACATTTCTGCACAGTTGTTCATCTGTTTATAAAATATTACTTAAAATGAGAGGACAGTGAATTCAAATTGCTGAAAAAGTGTGGTTTACCATATTTTCTGATGTCTCTTTCTTTTGTTTTTGGAGTGAAGAGATTTATTAACTGCTGAGGTTTGTAGTCGGTAACGTTGTCAGGTTGTTCCCGCCCACCACGTCAAATACTGCATACAGTCTCTCGAGGACTGGAATTTTAGATGTATTTTACTGTGTCCCCACGAAGATGGACTGGAGCAGCGTTTGTCCTCGGCAAGTATCGCGTTTCTATGCCTCAGGCAAGGCCATTATCCTTCAGCAGGTACCACTTCTGCCCTCGAGAAAACTTAATCAACACTCCGAAGCTGTTTTTGACTACATTTTTCTCTTCCTGTTGGCTTCTCCCTTCCTGGATCCATCACGCATTGGAACAGCGACATTCAGTAAACAAATGGCGACGACAAGCTTTCGCATTTCGGCTCTTTTAACACGAAGAAATTTTATAGTGAAGGTCAAACAAATTTAGTGAACTCGGAGAATAATGAAAATTTATCTAACTATTAACTGTTAAATCAAAAACCTTAACTTTAGCGTATTTCTGACGATCGTTCAACTATATTTTGCCTGACACCGGTCTCTACAATGGTTTCAATTAAAATTTCGCGCGGGAAATTTCCCCGGCCCGGACCGGGTACAAGTGCACTGCGCATGCTCTTGCGTTTGACCGCGGTTAACAAGCGTCCCCAGTTAGCTTACCCATCCCCCTTCCGCGGGGGAACAGCTGTGCAATTGAGTTGCAGAGACTGCATCGTGTGGCATTAAAACAAACTCTATGGGAAACAGCTGGAAGTGTCTAGATGTCAGTTTGGGTAGACTAGCATTGCATGGATATAAGAGAAAAACCCAAGAAGTTTACATCCTATAACTGCTTCAAATCGTTGTAGGATTAGAAGATAAGTCAGGTGTTGTAATCATCGCACAGAATAAGTGGACATCATTAGTTATCCATGATCACTGAGGCGGCAAACTCAAATAAGATTAGATAAGATCCTCTATTTTAAGTGGCTCATACTCTTAGCTTTATGGGTTAGTTAAAAAAATAAATGATTAAATAAAAAAACAAAAAGACTTCAACGGCTAATTCACAGCTATGCTACTGTGCATGAGCGCTTTAAATAAGCTCCAAATATAAGAGAAGAATTAGGTCTCATTTGGCTCACCAGCGTTGAGAAAATACATTCGCGCGACTTTGAGGTAGTCACGTTAGACAGTGCAACGGTCGCTGAAATGCTATAGGACGCAAAATCAAGCAAAAGATTCCTGCCTGTAACAGGGCTCTAAGTCTCTAGTTGCTAAAAGGGCCAGTGTTGAAGGAAAAGGATAAAAAAGGTAAAAGAAACAAATAATATCACATGAAAACAACTATTCTCCAAGGACTAAAGCACGTTGATTTCAAAGCTAAAACCCAAAAAACGTATCTGGAAATAACAACAAGAAAGAGGACAAAAAAATAAAGAACAAGAAAACAAAATCATTCTCTGATTTTTAAGGACTTGATAATTTTGAGTTGTCACTTAAAGACGCCTTAACTGAACGGAAACAAAAAATATTTTTTAATATAGAGCATTTTCGCATGACGTCACGGCGGCCATATTGATGTTCTAAACCAATCCTGTGGGAATTGAACTCTTTTCTTATGTAAAAGCATTCTTTTGTTCCCATAAATTTGAATAGATGCTAGTCACGTGAGTGTAAACGCTCTAAACAAGGGACACTGTTGAAAGAGCGTTTTTACATTCGCAGCCAGCAGCTATGCAAATTTACTGCGACAAAAGAATGCGTTATAAGAAAATTATCGCCCCTTTTTTATTGCATTTGGACTGCAAGATGGCGGACTTGACGTTATGTGAAAAGGCCCTAGACAAGAAAATGGTCGAAAATAAACTAAGGTAGAGGGGCTAGCTTACTTCTTCCGGGTGGTCCATTATCGCCACGTGCTCCGTCAGGGGCTTTAGGCCCCAGTCCAAAATCCCTGCAAACCGCATTGTAACCCACGACATTCGTCCTACAACGTCTCCCTTTTCCACCCCTACTGCCTTCGCCTCCTGGATAAGATAAAAAAGATAGAGAATAAAAAAGCACAATCTTAAAAAGATATTGTGGAGTTTTCGCGAGAAAAATACAGTCAAACCCCGTTAGAAGGGACACTGAGGGAACCATCGAAAGTGTCCGTATTAACGGAGTAGTAAGCGAGTCATGTTATTTAGGTCAAAAGCAAGCCTATTATTGTGCAGAATACTAAAGAAATAAAACAGGACTTTATATTCGTCAATCTTAACATTTCTAACCTTCACAAAGTCATCATTTAGAAGATCATTACTTTCAATCTCGTTCCCAGAGTCCGCCTAGCCATTGTCCAGCGGAACGAACACGAGGACGGGGAGGTCCCTGTTGCCCGTTCCAGTGGACAAGGGAAACGCGGACGTTCTGCGTTAAACTCGTTTGATCTGATGTTGAATTCTACAATTCATCCTTTGCTGTGTACTGTAACACTGTCAGGTGAGAGTTCATTACCTTCAGTAAGGAAAGTTTTATTATAGCACACAGCTGACAATGAAGAATCCACATTACCGAGCTGTGTGCACCCTAGAGTCCACTCTAGTTGTCATTTCTGAGCTTTTCAAGATTACAAGATGGTTTGTCATTCAAACTTCAATAAACATCAGCAAAGACTCAGGAGGAAACTGGATTTATTTCTATCATTTTAAAAAGCTTTTTTACATAGTATCCAGCCTGGGCCTGTTTGATATTAGTTAAACCGCGACTTGAGTTTGACAGGTTATGACAAGGGTAAACGATATTACCTCTTCCTCCTTGTCCATTCTTTGCCGGCTCTGCTCCAATCCCTTTGCAGGATTTCAGGAGAACGTTGCCTTTGACTTTCCCCGAGCTAAACACGATATTACCAGCTCGTCCTCCGTTTCCTACAAGAAATTGTTCCAAAGAAATTGATTACAGTCGAACCTCTTCACACAACTGCCACCCTGGGGACAGACGAAAGTCGCCGGTGTGGAGAGATGGCCCTTATGGGGAGCTAGCGCGGCTGCGCGGGATAATATGACAATTTATTGAGAGAGTAGAACAAGTATATTGTGCTAAGTTTACACTTCTTGTATCTCATAATGGTAATCCAATCATATATAGCTAGTAATTCTACAGAGATAAAAGACACACAAAACCTGAATGTTTTGAATCGAAATGTTAACGTGACAAAACCAGCAAGGTTCGTAACATACGCTAACTTATCGTAGACAATTTACTCTTACTGCAGCAGTATAAAATGGAACACAATCAAAATACTATTGCCGCTATTAATCATTTACTAAACCAACCACTAGGAACAAATTCATGACCATTCTTGACTTTTTAATCAGTCGCTGAAAAAACTGGCCTTTGTGAAGAGGTGGCCGTTAGTGGAGGTTCGAACGTTATTAAAAACGCGAAAATAGGAATTTAGCCAATGGTGACCTATTTGCAGACCTGCCAACCCCTGATACAGGAAAATCTGGAAACTAATGAAAAAAAAATATATTGAGATTCTACAAAGATAGTGAGATTCTATATTTTTTATCGGATCAAAACTAAATAAACCTTTTTTCCTTTGGGTGTATTAATTGCTTATTCAAATACTACCTTGCTTTATTTGTGGTTCCTCTTGTAGCAAAATGCCGCTTTCCTTAATGATTCTAAGAGGCCAGGGATGAGGGCATAACTGGGACGAAACATACAGCATTGGGACGTTCGATTCCGGATAAGCAGCTTCATGGCCAAAATGTTAGACAAAGGGTTTAAACAGGCACTGGCATTACCCATTTAATTTCCATTCTTATTGATCAAATGCTGCGACTTTCAGGCTTCTTACATTGGTGAAACCGGCAGAAACCTATGCACGCGAGTGACCGAACACAAACGAGCGACGAGAAATGGTGACGTCAAGAATCAGATTGCTGAGCATCATTTACAGACTAAACATCAAATTGACTGGGACTCTGTGACATGTATAACGTATTCTACAGACTACTATCAACGTCTTACTTTAGAAAGCTGGTTTACTAACTTAGAACAAATGCCACTGAATCGTAGCCAACAGTTACCAGCGCCGTACAAACGACTTATTGACGAGATCAAGCAAAACTAACTACGAGAGAACGACTGGAGAACTAACCTGAGATCAGGCTCTATTTCGTTTCGCTTTGTAAATAACCCTGGCGGGCATGGCGAAACGAAAAGAGAGCCTGATACAAACCTTCTACGATACGTCTGCCGCCCACTTTTTTGATTGATTGACATTTGCCGAATCAGCCAACCAAAATTACTTCCGTTGCTTGTTTTTCTAGTATGCAAATTTTTCGCGCGTGGGAAAAATGCAGACTGGCTGACTTAAAAACTGAATAGTTTTTATCTGTTGATTTTTTTAGCTAAAAATAAAACAGTCAGCACAATCACATTTAACTTCTTGCGAGATTAAGGGAGATCTGGAAGGTTATTTCTGTTGGCGTAGAAGGTAAAAAGTTTTCGAAAAGACGGCGACACGATGTTCTACTAGTTTTATTATTTTGGGTAGGCGCGCTCGAATTTAAAATACTGAAATTTCTATTTTTCCGTTGCCTTAATATTTTCCTCGGCAATTTTCCCCGATTTTCTGTACATAAATATTTAAAAAGAAAAGCAAACAGTCAACGTGCGAGGACACCAGTTTTCCTAGTTTATTTTTTACAAAAAGCGAAGGCAAACGACCAGTCTGTTAACACTGAAAATTCCTTGAACAGCGATGCGATATTTTTCGTCTAATACTTCACAGTTGGCGATTGAGGTTTCTTTCGCAGTGAGCTTCCGCTTGCGTACCCCGTTCAGAGAAGTCATTCCCGGCTAAACTTTCAAATGAAACCAGTTTTTAGATGGACAGTATTTTGATTTGCACCCGTTTGTTGGTAAATCAAAAGGCACCTTGTTAGAGGTCAACAACTTGCAGAGGGATTCAAACGGAGGAAAAGTACTTAGCCTCAGTAGGTTAACCGGTTTACATATATCGATAGATCGGAAAATTACTAACCGGGAAAGCACTAGCTGGTAAATTACTTGCCAGAATATTACTTGCTGTAAAACTACTAGTCACGAGCTCGTTCGGAAAGGTACTTAGCCTCGACGTCATTAAAGGTTAGGGTATAAGACAAGCTGTGTTCCCCGAAGTCTTCCTCTTGGTCTCCTGACGTAACAAGCTTTGCGAATTTGACAGCGGCACACCTCCGTCCTTCACTTCCAGAGTTGAGTATATCTTTCTTGTTGTTTTTTAAGTTACTCATGTCTCCTAAACCCCATGTTCTCATTATGGGCCACTCCTTTGTCCGTCGTTTTGAATTATTTTTGTCTAAAAGCGTAGACGCAAGGGTACGACGGGATCTTAACTTGTCCCGTTCCGCGCAGATAACTTTTCTCGGAGTTGGCGGTCGCACTGTCGACAAGCTATCTAAATTTGATTTACATTTAGTAAGGCGCCTACAACCCCAAATTGTGATTTTGGAGATAGGTTCCAACGACCTTTCCCCACCGGACGCTAGGCCCGAGGTGGTAGGTTCGAAGATCGAGACCCTCATTCAGCGTTTACACGCTGAATGCCAAGTTGAAACGATAGTAGTTTGTCAGACTATTAACCGGGCTGCAGGTTTGGGGGATCCACCCTCCTTCAACGATCGTGTGGCCCTTCTCAACCAATATCTCAGCGTGGTGCTGGAGACCCTACCTTTTGCTGTTTTCTGGCGTCACAAAGGACTTCGACAACCCACCGTTCGCATTTTATGCAGAGACGGGGTACACCTTAATGCCAAAGGGCAATATGCTCTCTATCGGAGTACAGGGGCGCCATTTTATCCGCTATTAAGCTCAGTTGCCCCCCCACCCGTCCCCCCCGCGGCGGGTCGCGCTCCCAGCTTAAATTAGATCCTTTTTTAAACCCACACTTTTTTTTGAAAAAGATTTGAATGTGAAAAAATAAAATAAAAATACACCGACATCTTTGCCAGCTATAATTTAAGAAGCATGACACATTACTGATTTTTCTTTGACTTCCACGTTATCGTATTCACACGAAGTGGCCGAGTATGAATGAAAACTTGAGCTTCTTGTCGTAAATTGCCCGAAAACAGACTTGCAAGAAAAAAAAAACAGAAAAAGTAAATCGTTCCCTAAAATGATGCGTGTACAATGCGACTAGATATTTACAGTTGTCTTCTTTTCCCATGATATCGCATTGTGACGATAGGTTTTGCCCTGCCAAGTACAAATCGGGGAAATAAGCGTCAAGAGAATTCGAGCGACTTGGGCGTAAGAATAACAAGGGGAAAACTAACTCTGCAACTCGCTTGGCTAGCCGGAAAGGAACTCGTCACTATTCCAAGGTACTAGGATCTGCTACAACTGGAAACAGGACAGGACTCAAACTTGGACTTCAACAGCTTAATCTTCAGCTCGTGAACGAAAATGATACAGTCAAATAAATCCGCAATGCAAAATCGTACAAACATATAACTCCGCAAAGTAAATCGAAAAACAGGAATAACAGTGCTCTATTTATACTAACCTTATTACAACATCACAAAACAAAAGGAAAGAAGGCTGAATAAAATCAGCTGAACAGCGAAGACAAATCGGGATAAATTCAGTTTTAAAATCCATATGTTAAACTAAATAACTCAAAATTAAATGTCAGTCAAGCAAGTGAATTTAGGAAACCTACGAAGATTAAGCAGTAAAGCTGTGCAAAAGAATTCAAGTTTCCTTTGCTCAGGATCCCTCAAAATGTCAAAACTAAAAACTACGACGGTTGGTATTTGAACAGGCTAAAGATCCAATTATTCAGTGACTAAGCTGTATAATTATGCAGAAACAAATTATCCTTTTAAAAGTAAACATTGAAGTAAAATGTGTATAATTTAAGAGAACTAAAACAACTCAATGCAAATTCAATGTAAACTACGGCTAACACAACTTCAAAGGGAATATTTAAAAGCTACAATAGATATGAAATTCGAATCAAATAAAGAATACATGGAAATCTCTCCTTACATTCCTCCCACCTTAAAAAATTTCGGCGTCCTCGTCGAAGAAAACTGAACTAAAAAGTACTTGGGGCACGCTATGAACTTTGATCTCACTCTGATCTGTCACAAATTGCTGGTAAACTTTGTCTCTCTAAGGGATATCTTTATGGCACAACGTACTTGAAATTAGCTGGACTAAAAGATAATGCGCATGTGTGAGTTCTAACAGTAGCTGATTATTTTTAAACCGATCGGACGCGAGTTAGATGCACGCAAGTAATTTACAAAAATTCAAATTCATTGTTCGCGTGCGCTCTCATAAAGGCCCGTAAACCAAACTAAAATATATAGGGGTATTAAGTTCAAATAAGAAACGATGAGGAGTCTATATACAACGTCGGCTATTCTTATTCTAAAACAGCCCTGTCCTGCTTTGAAACGAACATTTACCAACGTGTATTTTTACGAGGTCATACCCACGCTAACAAAGCAGTCACCGATCGGCAAACAACATTTGTAAACATACATTTTATTACTGCTCTCTCAGTTCGCCTTATATAAACCCAGAAATACCTACAAACAGCGCCTGACCGGTGACAAAAACACACAACGTATGAGTATAAAGATTATCCTTAACTGAGCATAAATTTCAATTGCTTATCAGCAGATGAACAAATTCATTCGCGTTGCATCGTGTCAGTTTTGCGCAAAACAAATGTTATCGAGTAGAACACATAAAGAAACTAGATTATAAACAGAATATTTAGGCAAGTTATTTTAAAAACATCAATTCTTAAACATATAAGATCGTAAAGCAAAGATACAAGGAACATTTCAAGTGTACCAGATCGGTGAAGATTGCGCGGCTTGTTGCGGTATAACTACAGGTCGGAGTCAAAAATCAAATCAAAGCTGTACGAGCTCATGCCTTTAACCACTTTCCAAGTGTCGTGTATTCCTTTCATAAGCCACACACTACTCCTAGAACCATACCAAATCGATCGGCTAAGCCTCTCTATCTCCAAAAGACTCTTGAGAACGTCCTGTTGCCGGACTGCCACGATGCTCTTCTGAATCTCCATGATCAAAACATTATTTTTTGCGTCTTCTTAAAACGTAACCGGTCAAACAACACAAACACACGTTAATCACCACTACGTCACCAAGCGACGGATGTCGGAATAAAACGAAGGATTTTCAATGATTGTACCAGTAATGGCGATTTCGAATTTAGTGTAGACCCGACAAATTTAATCTGAAGAGACAAACGGCGCGCATGCGCATAACTGCGATCGTGTCCCTTTAAACATATGAGACTCATGACAATTGCAATTCCTATGAATCTCTTTTTCGTGTTTTTCCTGCGAACTATGTAAACTATATAAGCTGATTTTCTGCGAAGGTATTTTTCTACGCAAATATCTGAACACCGATCTATCTAAGCTCAAATATAGTTCCTTTGGTGTGACGGTGGTTGCTTCACAAGTACGGAAAGGCATCTTTCTCTGAACGGTGCTCACGGCGCTGTGCAATGCATGGATTAACGTATCTCTCTTTGGACAAGAATTCGTGCTGTAGTGTAGAAGAGCTTCGGGAACTTCATTAACTGTTGTGTCTGGAAAATCAGCATCATTTGACGTCATAGGTGGAAACTGTTTTGTACTTCTCTGTTTGACTGGCTGAGGCGGCTTTCTCATTTTCTTGGATTCATCATTTGCTTGTCCAATTTTATAGGGCTCTTTTGGGTTTGTTGGGCACACTTGAATGGGTACACCTCCAGCGTTTCTTATGTCGAAAGGTTGCTTTTGTACGGCATATATCTGTGGAGTCATCTGAACTTTGTAAACATTGTGATCAGGCACCGTTGCGTGCGATGCAGTCAGTAGGTATAAAGCGAAACAAAGGGTGGCCAAAAAGGATTGACGGACCAATAAACGATAAACATTCGTCTTTCCACTGTGGCGGGTTGCGGGAATCAGCTGGAAACGGCGATAACTTTCCTGAGGCACATTTGTTTCATCAGAGGCTGATGGGAAGAATAACGTTCCTATGAAAGCTGGGTGTAGAGCATGTTTCTGTGAGGCACCGCTTTTCTTAACAGGAGTTTTCTCTTTGCCAGAATGTTCTTCAGTGAATTCTTCACGACGTTTTGGCTGTACGGGCTCTGATTGCAAGTCAGGCCTTGTGATAATTTTCTCTCCGGGTAAGGTTCATCTCTTTTGCCATCCAACTGTAAGATACTCTCTTTTTGGTTGATAATGGCTCCATTTTCTCGCAGGAAATCTCTTCCTACAATGAAGGTGCATGAGTAACTTCCACTGGCTATGTCTAAAGTAGTGGTTAACATACCCAGGACAGGCAAAGCTTCGCCACTCACGGTTTTTACGAGTGGCTTTCCGTAAATATCGACGAACGGTCGGCACAAGTTGAAAATTCGATTTCCCGGATATTTGGCTCATCGATAACCCTTAATGATTAATGAAACATGCCATAGTTAGTTTTCCCAAATAACGTGTTCTTTTGTTAAAATTCGAGAAAACGCATTTTGCCCGTTCAGAGCTCAAAATCCACTTCCGGTAAACCGAAATTTTACACAAATTCCATTGACTCTTACGTCAAACCACAACGATTTGGCAGCCTTTTAAGAACACGAATAGTTTTAATGACCCTTTCTTTATTACAAGGCGATAATTTTGTGAAAGCTGTAATAATTTTGTGGCCAAAAAGGTATTGTTAAAAATAGGCCCTATTGACAATTTCTGCCGTTCAAAATTATAGGGAGAAAATAATGCAAAATTTTTACAATGCGCTATGACTTAAAATTCCGCAAATTGACTTTCTAGTGCTTAACTAGGCTCCAATCTATCAGAAAATCGAAACAAATCTCTGGACAAACGATTTCAAGTAGCCCGCAAGACGTTGAGTTCAACCCTAATTTTGCAAAAAAAAAAACGCGACATTGCCGTGGTTAAAAATAGCGTTACACGGCCCGTCACGCCAGTGTTACCGATAGATACGCTTTAAACAATTTACTTAAAGGCAGATTAAAAGCCAGTTCGAAAATAAATCTTTCAGTAAACCTATTATTCTCATTGGTTGCAGCATTTTCTTCAGATACAACATTTAGGGTCCCTGGGATAGCGTCACACACTTTCATGTTCAGTTTCAGACTGGCGATTTCCCTCAAAAAATGGTATAGTATAAACAAAACAAAATCTAAAAACTGAAACTGATTACTGAATGAATTTTTCCATTGAGAGATATTTGCAAATTAAATCATCGCCAATCAATGCCATTTGTTTTATAAAAACTAATTTCCTTGAAGCAATTTTAAAGAATAAAAATATTTTAGACTAATTATTGGTGCAATAGTTCTTTTCGAAGTTTTTACCCTTGCGGGCTCTCAAAACTGAAAAAAAGCTACGTGGATGCCCAAAGAGGAGCATATACTTGTATGACAACGTGTATGAATCATGAAGCTACTGCATGACTATGACCCATTAAAACAAACTAAGAGGACTCTTTGGTGCTTTGCCAGGCTTACCATAAACTCAGTTTCGGGTTGCTTTCGACGTTTCAGTGGAAAATTCCTGAAACAAACGAACGTCTGAAAAGGCAATCGCCTATTTTCCTGGTTGGAAACTTCAAGGCGGAAGTTCGGATTTTATGTCTTCAAACCTTTTTTGAATATTAGTTTCAGGCTTTCGCAGCCGTTTTTCATTAAACGAAACTGACTTAGGAAAATGGTAAACGCGATTACCCAACGGAATCAAAATTAATCAGTCCTGAATTCTCCTCACCATTTGCCCAAAC